TGTCATTTTTAATGCAAATATGACATTATTTGACCTAACCCTACCCCTACCCTTACCCCTAACCATAGCCCATAACAAAGACATCTCAAACAATGTCATCTTTGCATTAAAAATTACATAACTGAGCGAATGTCACTTAATGACAGTTGTCATAAACATGCATAAAAAACCTTCATATTCATGACATGTCATGTCATGATTATGTAGGTGTCATGTCATGATTATGAAGGTGTCATGTCAGTCTTATGCACACCCCTTCAAGTAAAGTGTAACCGTTTTTTTTTTTTTAGATAATGTAATCTTGTTAAAATTGATTTCATAAAATTGGTATCGAAAAAAGTATCGTTCAGGAACCGGTATCGAAGTCAAGGTATCGGTATCGATATCGAACATTTTTGAACGATACCCAGGCCTAGTTGGATGACTTTCAACATGTGCAAATAAAGTTTTGGAAAATAAATAAAATAATAAACCTCACATTTTAGCCTTTAAATCATTTTTAAGAAAGAGGATGAGTCAAAATTATAGGCATTTTATCTGCTCCATAAACAATTCTACATAGGCTACCTTATCGGAAGTACATTTTGTTGCTGTTTTGTATTTTTGCTGAAGTATCACATGATTTAAGGTTGCTCCAATACCAACATTTTGGCTTTGGCAATGTGCCAAGCTCTGCTACCTCAGATAGGGCCCTATGAAATCATTTTTATTTTCCCCCAAATTCAGTTTTTAATTTTTCTAGGTTTTCCCATTTTTAATTTTCTGGTTTCTGTTTTAATGGTTAAATTACATTTTAGTAATCAAAAAGCATGTCTACCAACGGTACCGTTTTAAAAGGTACACTTTTACAATAATCTCAAACTCAAATATTACGCGACTTAAACAGTGAGAGACTCAAAAATCCAATGTAACTTTGTACAATGCAGTTTAAATGTAGATTAATGATACATACGTATGTTTTGAGTGTATGTTTTTGACAAGAAGAAAATGAAATACATTTTTAGATGAGCTGCTCGACATGTAGCCTAATGTACTTTAACAAAAATGTTTTCTAAACTAATTAGGGACTTCTATATATGTGTGTGTGTGTGTGTGTGTGTGTGTGTGTGTGTGTGTTATCATGCACACCTGTTGATCTCGTTGTATAATTCTGGATGAGCACAGGACAGATGCTACTGACTCCTGAAGTGGCACATGACTTGTGTTGTTTACAGACTGGTGCCGTTAAAGGGTTATTCGTCTGCATCAGACCTGCGACGTAGCCTCTACTTGATTAGTCTTTATGATATAAAATTCAAATCTCTGAATTAGGGCTGCACGATAAATCGAAATGGAATCGAAATCGCGATTCGACAGAAGCTGATTGTCATGCATATCTTTCAGTGAAGCACTGAAATCTTTCTGTGATCAGCAGTAAATCTCCATCCAAAGGCCAGAGGGCGCTCTCGCGCTGAAACTCCAAATACGCCTTGCAGAAGAAACCCAGAAAATGCCTATAGCGGTAGTTGGATAAACAGAAGATTTAACTGCTTTTATTGATTCAATGTGACTAATAAACGCACAGCAGTGAACACACACACACCGTGAACACACACCCGGAGCAGTGGCAGCCATTTATGCTGCGGCTCCCGAGGAGCAGTTGGGGGTTCGGTGCCTTGCTCAAGGGCAACTTTTCTGTCATTAAATGCAAACAGCTGTCATTATCACGAACGATTTCTTCGATTTCATAATCAAATTTTTTGCTGATTACAGAACCGGCATTACTAACAAAATGCACATGACAGTTGCATTCGATTAAGTGACGTGACATGACATGACGTGACATGTGGCCAAGTTTGGTGACCCATACTCGAAGATGAACGAAGGTCTTAAGGGTTTGGAACGGCATGAGGGTGAGTAATTAATGACAGAATTTTCATTTTTGGGTGAACTAACCCTTTAAGGAATGCAAAAATCATTTTGAACCCAACCATGAATAAGGGCAAAGTGTTTCGTGCTCTGCCACTGCTGAATCTGTCAAGGCAAAAGAAATCACATTTCATGTGAATGTGAGTTTGCTGTCTGAATTGAATGTGGTGAGAAACAAACAGCGTAGTGTAAAATACTGGCATGAAAGCGCACATTTCTATAGCGCTGTCCTTGCATTCAAACATCCATTGTAAGCAGTGTTGTCTGACTCACGAACAAACGAGTTAGTTCTTTTAAGGAATTGTTCTAAGAGAGTTCAGTCTGAACTTGCTGAATCAGAGTGCTTCCTGAACCAACATCCAACTCACTTAATGAACTGGAAGTTGTCTTTACCATCAGAGCAGCGATGGCGCAATCTCTCGTGACTCCTGTTTAAGGTGAGGTGCGGTGCTCATGCAGCCCAGCGTTGGCCCGTGCCATCATGCTCATTTCCTCGCAGGTCGTTTGAATACAGGTCTGTTATCTGACGTTCATGTGCTGTTTTGAATAAGCAAAGTGGACCACAGAAGGACAATACCGCTGTACAAGTTGCCAATGCTACGCTAATACGCTTTGCATGTGAAACTGCATAATTTGCATTTGGAATAAAGCTTTGCTTTCTGTTGACATTGCTAATGTTAAACTGAACGGTAGGAGAAATGTGCCTGAACCTGATGCAAAGCTGAGCAGCTGTCATGATTTGCTTTGTCTCATGTGATTGTGTTCACTATAGAGAGCATCAGTGAACACCCAGTTCTTCAGACGGTTTGGTTCTTGACATTTTAGAGGTCGACTGATTGATCGGCCGATTTTTGGCATTTTTTAATTAATCTGCATCGGCCGATTGTGCTGCAAATTAGGCCGATTTATAGGCAGGCGCATCTGCGGGCAGCCAAGCGTTGTTGCGGAACACCGGAGAATCTCTCTCTGGCTGCGTGAGACGGAACAGCTCACACTCTGCAGCCACTTCTTGTTCACACACAGCTTCAGCTAATGATGGCAGGGCAAAACAGACAGTTTCGAAAGCGTAATTACGTTTTACCCTACTAGAATTGATGCCGGAAAGTTATCATAGTCATAAGTGCAACAAGTCATTTGCATGTGAAAGTAGAAACACGCAATTCAGACGAAACTTCTGGGCTGATTATAACGTGCACGTTAACTTTCCTCATGAAATGTGTGTCTAGGTGTACACATTGCATGACTTTACAATAGGAAGAATCGCCAACAGCTCTCTCTGGTCTGCAAACTACGTTTCACAACAAAACACACGTGAGAAGTGATAAGGAAATAACGTGAGAACCCGCTTGCGTCAGACTGGAGTTCTCGAGCAAGACTGGAATTATTCAAAAATATATATATAGCCCGCAAATTGTCTGTGAGCTGATTTCCATATATCTATTAAAATACTGATATTCTGGTCTATAACTCCCTGAACTTCCCTCTGCCCTGTATCTTGGTCTCTCATTGGCTGTAGGTCATCGCCTATGTGTTTTTCAGTCAGAACTCATTTCACACAGCGTGATTGTGAATCGCCGACAGCTCCAGATATATAGCATGCCAAATATTTTGCGGGTGTCGGCGATTTTCTCAGATCGCGTCTTTGATAATTCACACTGCGTGATTGTCACTCGCGTGAACGAGCACCGATTTGCCTCCGATTTCGGGCATTTGTCGGCGATTTCGCAAAACCTGTTGGCGAGTGAAAAATCGGGCTAAAATCGTGCAGTGTGAACTCGGCATAACGTTACTACAAAGATGTGTTGGATTTGTATTATCAGAGCTTCTCAACTTGAATTCACTCACGTGAATTTTCTCAGTCAGGAATTATTTTTCTGGTTATTCTGACACCACATGAATGCAGTGTAATTTTACTAGAGATCACATGCGGTGATGATGCTTCTTACATCCGTTTCGGAGCACCAGAGGGCAAATATTTCAATTGACAGCTCAGGCATTTGAGTGGCACCGAGATCTGCGTTCTGATTCGGCCCGGTACATACCGGTCAAAAAGGTACTGGTGCCAATAGGGTTTCAGTACCAAACCCTGATGTGCAGTGGAACAGCCGTGTGTTTCTGGAGCGTCTTCATGGCAGTATCAGGAAGAAATGCCTGACGGACTTGAGCATCCAGAGAAACCGGTTTGGTCAAAAGCAGGTGGCACGATTGTTTGAAGGATCTGAGTCCAGACAGCTGATGTTAAACACGTTGTATTCTCGTTTGCAGTAGTCCAGTGGTAAACTGCGACGACGGACAACAGAAACAGTATGAAAAATGAGCTCTGTTCCAAAGCTACTGAGCTGCCTATTGGGTGAATTACATTTATAATGGACATACTTGACGTCTGTCATCTTGGATGGACGTTTTTATTGAATTGGTGCATTCTGGGATCGTCTTCTCCCTGAACAATACTTGTAATGCTACCTAACAATATGGCCATAATAAGTACAGTCATATAATCATGCTGCTAACTAGAGTTTCCCCTACCTCTGTAAATAAATACAATATAAATTCACGTCTCGCGCACTTTAATGCCCTTTGAATGTAATGTGTACGTTCCCTTGGAACTGGAATCATGGCGGAATTTCATGTGAAGTCCACTTCGCAGGGCACTTACGGTCGAATAAGACAACGCTTGAATGCTGCCTGAACAAGAGACCTCCTTACTGAAGTGAGAGTGTTTGTTGACTGGTGTCACTATCTTGCGAACGCGAATTTGGATCTCCTCCAAATTCGGGGGATCCCTTCAGCTCGAGGAGCCCTCTCGAACGCCACCCTCCGTGCGTCGGTAGCCCCCCGGGATCGCTAGATCGGTCGGCGCCGGACCGCGAATTTAACCACCCGTAACTCCCGAACCGAACTGGTAGGCTATTTGCTCGCCCATGATACCTGAGCATTCGGCCTATAGGTAGATGGCTCACTAGGCTTTGTAATAGAGCCACAGTCACAAGACCTTTGTATTAATTGTACAAAAGGCTTTCCTCCAGCTTTTGTAAGTGTGTTTGAGCCTGTTGATGCGAGTTTTGATTGTGTGAGTGCCGTTTGGCTGTAATGTGAAACGGATCCGGTGGACTCTTCACTGCTTCGTGTGGCAGTACGCAGGCAGCATCAGGCAGGTAAGGACTGACTGTGACTGAACCGTCACATGCTCACATACTCATTAAGGAACACGCATTCTTTTATCTACGGCCCCATGAAATCCATTTTGTTTTTGCAAAATGTAATTGTTTAATTAAATGAAGGATCAAAAGGCTTGTCAAATAAATTGTGACCCTGCAGCACAAAAGCAGTCTTAAGTCGCTGGGGTATATTTGTAGCAATAGCCAACAATACATTGTATGGGTGAAAATTATTTTTTTTTTCCTTTTATGCCAAAAATCATTAGGATATTACGTAAAGATCATGTTCCATGAAGATATTTTGTAAATTTCCTACCGTAAATATATTAAAACAACATTTTTGATTAGTAATATGCATTGCTAAGAACTTAATTTGGACAAATTTAAAGGCTCAATATTAAGATTTTTTTGCACCCTCAGATTCTAGATTTTCAAATAGTTGTATCTCGGCCAAATATTGTCCTATCCTAAACCATACATCAATGGAAAACTTATTTATTCAGCTTTCAGATGATGCATAAATCTCAATTTCGAAAAATTGACACTTGACAAATTGGTCACAATTGAATTCATATAAAATAACGTTTTTAAAATATATAATATGAAATCTTAACGATATCAAGCACTATGAAATTTATTATTTTTTTCTTCCACAAATTTGATTTTCATTTTTTCTGGATTCTGTATTTTATGATAAAAATTATCATTAAAAATGTGGTAGTCACATTAATTAATGAAGCGCAAGGAATTTAATCAGTTCTTTAAAATATACTACTCTAAAACATTGCATTTTTATTTTTTAATAAATAAGGTGCTGCACAACAGAGGTGCACAATAAATTAAAACGTGGATAAAAAATGTTGTTGATGGTATGATATTCTTTAAAGTTTTTATCCGTACAGTCTTTTCAGTAGATTTAGTAGGCATAATTCCTTACAGTTCTTATATTATATCTTATAATAGGGTTTGGCACGAGCATTCACGTACTTGAGTACTCGAACGTGAGAGTGACGATCGATCATGAAAACGATGATCATTTGGTCTGATTGGTTAGCAATGTGACAGCATGCTATCTAGACCAGAGGAACCAAAGTGAAAGTATGGCTTTGAAAGCACTCAGTGATGACTGGAATCACTTGATAATGGAATTACTGTTAAGTGCAAGAATAATTGTTATGAGAACAATGTTGTAATGGAATGTACATTCTTTGTGTTATAGCGCATCCACACCAGTAGCACGGTTAAGTTCATGTGCTTTTATGTTCGTTTGTGCAGATGTAATATGTAGTTTTAGGTTTATGTTGTATGATTAATATTATTTAGGAATGTGAGCAATGAGCAATGTCATATTCCTTTTAGATATTTCGTTTTCAAAAACATTAATGTTGCTAATAATCTAGCTGTGTTATTTTTCTATTTTTTTTTTCAACATTATGTTCATGGCTTCAAAAACGGCAAGGGACAAATCACTCGATAACACAATATAGTTGTGCAATATAGTTCAAGATGTGCAACACAATGCTGTCATATTGTGTGTACATAGAATTATAATGAGTAGAGATGCACCGATCGATCGGCCAGGGATCGGAATCGGGCGATTTTCCTCATGATTGGCCCGGATCGGTATTTTATTACTGACTTTTTACTTGTGTTTTTTTAATGAAAATAAAACTTTGCGTTGAAGAATTTTTTTTTGTATATGCTGTCATATTTCTTAGAAAGAAAATCAGAATCGGCAAAATTCGGTATCGGCAGATCACACTAACGAAAAATCGGAAATCGGAAGCCTGAACAGATTCGCTTCGCTTCCGTTACGGAGATATGGCCGTTCAAAGTTTCAGTGGTTTTCCATAGACTTAAGCTTTAAAGCGTTTCATCCAGGTCGCCAGTAGCAAACAATGGAGCGCGCTCTGCTGGACAAACTAAGTAATTACACCATTTCAAGCATTTTATCTGCATTATATGTTCTGTAAAAAAAAGTTCATATCGGCGGCATATTCGCCGATACCGATATATCGGTGACAGGCTCATATCAGCCGATAATATCAGCAAAACGATATATCGGTCGGGCTCTAGTAATTAACACGCTAGCAAAGCGCTTCAGTTCACAGGTGTTCATTCACTCTTTAGCTTTAGCTCACACTGTTGAAAAGGCAATGCCCAACATTATTGACTTTGATTGGATTATTTCAAGCTATCATGTTTCTTTTTCAAAAAATATGTAATAACTATCGGTGTTATTTTTCCCACCATATTGTCATTAACAGTATGTTTTGTTAAAGTAGTTCCATTGTCATTTCGCCGCAGTGCGCGTAGCGTAGCCCTGGCCTCGCAGTTAATCGATCAAGGAAAGGAAGAAATTACAAAAATACTCATCCTTATCATACATGTGATTTTATGCTTTGTAATGTTTTATAAAATATAAAGGTAATCAACTCTTGGAAGCATCAGTAATGCTGAGCATTGTAAAATAATGTCTGAAACCCATCATTTTCCAATGGAAACGTTTATGAATTTATAGTTACCAAAATCTTAAGCTTTTCGTATCTAGCTTTTATTGAAAAAGAAAACATCAATGATTTGTCTCATAAAGAAAACTTTAATTGAAAAATATTATGCATGTGTATTCTAAAATAAGTTTGTTGCTAAAGATAAATCATTTTGCAGTTTTCTTGTTTTCTTGTGAAATCAATGTGATATAGAGATCTGAACAGTATTAACTCAACTGTAAAAAGTAAACCCAAAAAACTGTTAAAACCAGCAGCAAAAAGCTGAGTTATGTAAAGGAAAATCTGACTAAGTTCACACTGCGAGCCTTAGTGCTCAATTTCGATTTTTGCTCAGATCCAATGTTTTTTTTTTTGTTTTTTTTTTTGTATAGCTGTTCACATTGTAGTTTTAACTGTGGCCAATATCAGATTACCAGTGTGAACAGATCATGGTTATGAACTGACCCGCAAGTGAAAAAGAACAATACGAACTGGATTGCCACGTTTTCACAACAAAATCTGCCCAATTGCTTCTCAAAACTGGTCTAAAACTAGCCCTTATCTTTAGTGGGGTCGCTTTAAAACAACCCGTGTCACCAAAAATAAAGCAGTCCAATTTTGCGGGAAAACTGTGGACTTGGCAACACTTGCGCTGTCATACGGAAGTAAACACGGAGGCCATAAAGTAAGCGATTATGCGTTTGTTTATAGTGTAATCTGCTGCAGAAGCCAGTGAAATTATGCGCAGACAATATGAAAAATAAAGACAAGGATGTGACCGAGGAGAGCAGAGTTTTGAAACTTTTATGATACGAGCCCTCATGGTTTGCTTGTATATAGAGAGTTAGTGTCTCTGTAATACTTATGAGAATCTTAGAAGTGACTCCCATGAGCACAGAATCATGAAAAATGTTGATCTAGAGTGACGTGAAAGTCACATGATCTGTTCAGACTGCGGTCGCATTGCAAAACATCTGACCTGTATCGGATTTAGTGCCACATATGGAAGTGGCACAAATCGTAATTGAAAAGATCAGATTCCATGTAGGCATGGGCCGGTATGAGATTCTGACGGTATGATAACCTTGGATAAAAATATCACTGTTTCACGGTATTGCGATTACAGCTCTAAAATATGTTATTTTTAAATGTCGGGGTAAAAAACAAAAACTTTCTTTCCCCCACTGAACACAATACATTTTATTTTTAAGAAACCTAGAACATTTTGGAACAGTAAACATGTCAGGCTAAATAATTCAAATAAATAATTGAATTCTTAATTTAATTAAGTGCAGTCACTTAAGTGAGCCTAAACCTGCAGCTCAACAATAATCAGAACATAAATTATTTTCTGTAAAAAAAAATAAAAAATACTAAATGGAAAAAAATGCAGTCACAAGTGAGCCTAAACCTGCAGCTCAATAATCAAAAGCATAAATCAAAACATAATTTCTGTAAAATAGATAAATAAATAAATGCAGTCATTAAACCTGCAGCTCAACAAGGTTTTTGGAGACATGCTCACTTTCTACACATTCCTCTTTCAGTCCAAGTTATGATGCAGGACTGTTCACCTTTCCTGGATTAAGTTTGGAGCGTATGAACACACATACACATAAGGAAAGAGAGAGCGCGAGTGTGTGTGTCACATAGAGGTCGACCGATGTATCGGTTTTGCCGATTAATCGGCACCGATAGTTGATTGCTGGAACTATCGGTTATCGGTATTTATTTCAACACTGAAACAAACGGCGGGTGGGTCTCTGTCTTGATCGGGGGTGAAAGAGGGAGAAATAAAAATGACGCAGATATATAGTTTATGTACGACCTGGAAGTATTTATTTAAGTATTTATCTAAAACGTCATCTGTACGGAACATCGTTGTGTACGAAACATGGTTAGTCTACGTTACCCGAAAAATTCCCATACGACAGACTTCGTCTTTTTTGACGGGGGAAAAAGTTCCAGGGATTCACCTCCTTCGGCCATCCCACACACAGCTGACTCTCACTGACCGCTCGCACCAACCGGAGGGGTCGTGTGACTCGTTACGCTCTTCGCTGCACACAACTGAGGGAGTCCTGCACTTTCCATCTTTGATGAGACGTAAAAAAACTGTGCATACCGCAGGAACGGTATAACGGGAAATTTTAGTGGTTTTGAAACCGTGACTTGTTTCAAACCGCGGTATACCTTGAAACCGGTTATCGTCCCATGCCTAATTCCATGTGGTTTGTGCTGTTCACACTGTCATGAGTAAAACAGATCTGAGTCACATGTGAGCAAAAAAATCTGATTTGGGCCACATTTGCCTGCAGTGTGAACGAAGCCTCTGTGACTACTCTGTAGTGCAGTTTTCATCATGGCATTTTATGTGTTGTCTTATGTTATTGTGGTCACTGTGATGGCTTAAAATAGACCAGACTTGTGTTAGTGGTCTTTAATGGCCTGTTAATGGACTTGCTGGCAGGACGATTCTTCCCATGTCATTCTGCTCAACCACAAGCGAATTCACCAGCATCTCTTTCAGTACGTCATGTGACCTACATACTTATACAAGTGCACTTCCCTTCAAATCCAGCTCAAACATGCATCACAAATATCCAAGCACTTTATAAAGCTGACCCTCTACATGGTCCTCTGCTCAAAACAAAACAAGAAAGGGACAAGTATGTAGTAACACAAACATCTTAGATACTCATCACTCAAGTCTAGTAGCCCCAGTGAAACACTAGACACACATCAACGTTTGTGTCAGTTTTTTAGTGTGCCCTCAGTATTGGCTATAAATAAGTATTTTGATGGATTGCATTGGGGCCTCTCATTGCACTGTTTTATGTAGCAGCTTGTACAAACTGTTGGACTCCAGGCTGTCAGTGTGACTCTGCTCTGTGACCATGTCTGTGTGTTGGTGCAGATTTCAGCGCTGCACGTTCTCTACAACAGCTGCTTATAAATAGATGTGCTATTGACAGCGTAGGAAAACTGTCTACTGAGCATCTGTGATGTTCGTCTTCTCTTCTAAATAAACCCTCATTCACAGCCATGGGATGTGTCTGCTATTAGGTTGGTGTTGTATACTTTTATAAAGAAGCGCTCGACGTGTATAAAGCAGGGGTGTGCACAAATAGTCGAATATTCGATCTGTAATCATTATTCGCAAATTAAAAACACTATTTGAATTTTACTACATGTTGCTTTGCTGGCTGCAAATGCAGGGAATCCATGATAAATCCTGAGCACGCAAACTAAAAGTCAGTTATAACTAAATGCACTGGGTGGTGCTGTGGAGCGTGTTAACAAGTTGATTGTATTTGATCACGGAATGTTGTCGTCTGCCTCGCGAAGTCTGGAATTACTTTTTGGAATTACTTATATGTTTGCACACAATTTCAACTAAAAGAAAACCTTGAGATATAACGTAACGTTGTTGTAGAACATTGTTGTGTATAATGCCTAATCATAAGCTTGTTCAGAAATTGTGAAATAATTTAAATAAACAAATATTCGAATATGCATTTTTTTTATGAGCCTAAATATTCAAATACAATATTTTTGAAAAATTACCATTCCTACGCTTTTGTGGACAGTAGTGGTCGTATTTGGCATTTTTCAAATATCGGCATCGGCCGATAAGTTTTTCTGCCTGGCCGATGTGTTCGAGGCGGGACTTTTATTTTGACGGCACTGAGACCGGCAGCACCAGAGCACACAGTGCTCACATTCTGCCTCTTCATTGTTTGTTGTCGTCGTCTAACAGTTCTGCCTAATACAGATAGAAGTCTGTCTAATAATCAGATAGAACTGTTGAACAAATTAATTAAAAGATATACAAAAAGTATTATAACGATTGCTTTTATATTATTAGTAACAGAAAGGCAGACATAATGCTTTCTCGTTTGCCGTCAGCATTCAGCAAATACGCATATCATTTAAACAAACCTTTAAATGACTAATGAACATTACATTTCACAACCCTTGCAGACTTAGTCGAATCCAGCTGTGAGATCTTGTGAAGTGTGCATTTGTATATTGCCTGATCACGTGTGCTCTGCGTGACGGTCGATCCGTGTGAATTGAATCCGGACAGGAGGAGAGTTCAGCTTCACTGGAGACGCGCGATCAACTTTAAACTCGTGATTTCAAACTATGCTGATTTATGCATTTGCGCACTGTCATATTCATGTCATTTTTACTGCGTGCTGCATGTAAAATGAATGTTACCTTGGCTTTAGTTGAAAAAATATAATAATAATAATAATATGATTCCCAAAGCACACAAACTTCCCAGATTACCGAGTGCCCTGTTGACTACAGTGTTTACTTCCTTTTTAATTATATATTTTAAAATATTTCTTTATTTGTGAAAAATACTGTAATAGAAATATAGAATCATGAAGTTGTCATCTAATGCCACAAGTTTGTTAAAATTTCCAAAGGGTGCCGCGACTAAAAAAAAGGTTGGGAAACACTGATCTAAAGTATAAGTATGTTTATTTTACACATTTATTTTAAATATAATTCATTTTCAAATTATTTCAAGTTTCTCAAACATTAATTAAAATAAATAAAAATTAGAATTAAAATAAAAAATATACTTATATCTGCTTTATATCGGCCATCGGCCACCCTGCTCTCTAAGATATCGGCATCGGCTGTCAAAAAACCAATTACGGTCGACCACTAGTGGACTAGTACGCAGAAGGGCTGCACGATATTGGGAAAATGCTACCATTGCAATATTTAATTTTTCTGTGATTTATATATCACAAAATGAAAAAATACAGGATTTTTCACCAGATGACTATAAATAGCTTTATTCGGAAAGAATGACTCATTCTAGAGTTAGGAGGGTGATTTATTTTTTTTTATTTTTTTTTTGCGCATCCACATAGAAAATGAATGGGGAAAAACTAAACAAAAAAAATCTTCACTGGTTTTAGAGTGAAGAGTGAACTACCTTGGTGTCAAACTGTGACATTATTCTTGATTTTTCATGTCATTGTGTATTTGGTATCTTGTGTGTAGCGTTAACTTGTAGATGGCGTTCTGAGGATGGAGGCCAAGTGATGATGCTATTGTTTGTTTGAAAGGGCAGAATGGAGTCAAAGAATCAGGCTTTTAAGACGTGCCTTCTAGCATCTTCATCATTTCTGTCCTCCGGGTAGAGTGCTGTTAAATATTGCATGCTTTGTGCTCAGCGAATGGCTGCAGGCATATGCTGTCTAAAAACACAAACACACACACACACACACACACACACACACACAAAGCACTCAGGCCTATTCATTGTGTGCATTTATTTGCCGGACACTCTCAATGCTTCATACACTTCATCACTTCAGGCTATAGACAGACACAAATAGCTGTGAGAGGGTCGACCTGTGTGTGTTTGGCTGGTGTAGCGTGCTAGCGTCCAGTGCAGCACTCGGAGAGAGTGGACATGCGTTCAGAGAGCTAAGGGGAAATCATCATATGCGATTCTTTGCCATCAGATGCCTGTTTTACTTTTGAATTTTGCTCTGAATTGAGCACAACTTAGTTTCACCCTTATAGTGAGGTACACAGGCTGTTTTTTGTGGTGGTGTGGTTAGGGCTGCTAACCAATAAATAATGACCCAAACTAGGGATGCAACAAAATGAAAATACTTGTCCGAAACTGAACAAAACGAAACACTGGGCCAAAGGCCGAATACCGAACATGGTTTTTCGTGTTTTTTTTCCCATGTATTTTGGCAATTTTCTTAACCATTGCATAAATTAAATTACCAAAATGTGCTTTTTACTGTTTTGTCTTGCTTTTCAAAGAAAAAATAAATAAATTACAAAACTACAATTTAAAAATATTTATTTAACACTGAACATTTTTTAACATTCTAGCAGAAACAAAGCACAATTTAACTTAAAATTGTTAAGTTAGTAAAATACAATTATTTATAATTATTATTAAATACATTTTTTGGCCATTTTTGAGACCCCCTTCTTGAATTAGTTGTGTGATTGTCTAAAGACGAAAAAGAAGGAAAACTGGACACTTTGAGCAGCAAATCCACGTATTAGAATGATTTCTGAAGATCACGTGACACTGAAGACTGGAGTAATGATGCTGAAAATACAGCTGCGCATCACAGGAATAAATTACATTTTAACAGATATTCACATAGAAATCAGCTGTTTTAAATTGTAATAATATTTTACAGTTTAACTGTTTTTACTGTATTTTTAATCAATTAAATGCAGCCTTGGTGAGCAGAAGAGACTTCTTTTTCAAACATTAAAAAATATTACAGATTTGAACACTGTGTGAATGTTATAATAAATGTATTAATAGAGCTGTTGTAACCATTATCATTATTATTCTTTTTTCATTTTATTTTACAGAACAACAGTAAAATTACAATACTAACATTTATAAATGTTGATGGAGTTCTTGCTTTTTCTCAGCTTTTATTTTGGCAGAAATGTGCAGGAAAGACCTCAATGCTTTTTGTTGACAGCAGATTTATAAATGAGTCTCATTACGAATACGTCGCACGTATCGTATTGTCACATGCCTTGTAAAGAATCATAAAAATGTTACTGAGCAACTGACGAGTAACACCGTTTCAGTGCAAATTTTCCTTGTGCTTTGGACTTTGG